AAGAACTGACTTCAAGTAAATATAGCAAAAAATTGTATATTTAGAATTAAATAACATATCTCTATTAGCCTTATTTTCTTAAAAGTCTATTCAATATTAATCCCTGTAACAACATCCGTGCAAACCAGACTTTCACATAATCAAAGAGCATGGCTAAATGATAAAATCTCTCCTATAACAACCAGTTAATATTTTATATAAAAAATAAACGGAAAAAAAAACAATTAATGTGTTTACAATACTTTATATAAATTATTTTTTGTCTCAAAATAATTATTTTTATTTTTTTTCACAAATATAAAATTTAGATATAACGTACTTGTTTGGTGAGGGTTTTTTTTTCTTGTATTTGAGTTAGGTACAATTTATGTATTTAAAGAAAATGGTTTACCCTTTTTTTTTTTTACTTATATTACTATTTTTAAAAAAAGGAGTTTTTCTCACCTATGAGCACATGACTTTTTTTATATATTATAAATTTTTGAGTTTTAGAATATAAGTTAAAGGTATTTTTTTGTTATAATTTTTTTTAAAGTATATAAATTGATATTAATTTTAATTAGTGTTATTATCATATAAATGAATTTAATTAAATAATTAATTAATTAAACATTAAATTTTATTTTATTTTTATAATTTTTAACTTGTGTCTTAAAATATAGATTAAAAAAACTCTAAATTTTCATAAATGATATAAAAATTAACATAAATTTCAATGTTGTGATTACATAAATAAATTTAATTAAATAACAGATAAATTAAAAATTAATTTTTATTTTTTAAATTTAAATTTATAATAAAAAAATATATTTTTTATACTCTTAAAATATATATTAAAAAAACCCTTTATAATATTAAAAAGTCCTTATTAGTTATAAAAAAATTAGCGTATTGGGGAAGGAGGCATCATGCCTCCGTGGCCGTGCATGCGTTGGTTTGTTATTAGTGGCTTTCTCAAGGAACCATATACATCATGTTTCTATATTTGAGGGTCAAGTAAAGGAGGACCACTTCCATTTATCCTCTCATTCGGGCAACCTCTATTTTCATTCTTTTCTTGCTTGCTAGCACCAACCATCATTAATTTCTGTTTTTTTTCTCGTTTTTAATCGAGTCTTCATTAATGACATTTGTGAATGAAATTATGAGGACTAACTAATGCATTAATGAGTTCAGAACTCGCGACAATGCCAACGGGAAAATGTTCAATAGTCTCGATCGACCGTTAAAAGTACCTTTCCTTTTTTCTATACTTCGCCATGTTTGTTTCATTGTGAAATTGACGCCTTTCCTTTCCTTTTAAAAAAACTA